TAAATTCTCTTCATATACCCAAATGCTATCAAATACACCTACCATTAAGGGACTATTCCATTGGTTCTCAACTCAGGAGCACTTAGAAATGTCTGGACACATTCCTTTGTTGTCATAAATCATGGGGTGCTACTGGCACCTAGTGGATAGAGGCCAGGGATGCAGCTAAAAATCTTAAAAAGCACAAGACAGCTCACCCACAAAAAGCTGGAATTTTTTAAAAAAAGTCAACAGTGCCAAGGCTGAAAAACCGTAGGCCATGACAAAAAGCATAGATGCAAAATCCTCCCTGATCCATCCTGACAAGCCAGACGCAGTTCCTGCTATAGAGGCTAGCAATAGGTAACCATTTTCGTGGCCCCAAAAGTTTGGCACCTGTGCTACACCTCCCCTACCTCTATCAGCTCCCGTAATCCACTAAAACATGAAGACAGACCTCTGAGTTCTTAGATGTGCCAGTCTTGCACTTTGCTACCAGTTCTAAGTATTTTAAGGGAAGTGGTTAGAATTAATAGTAAAAACTAGATTTGGGCATTATCCGTTTATTATCCATACTAACCCACTGTCCGTTATCACACATAATTTAAGCGTGACTCTATTCGTAGCAGAAATACACAAATTTATGATTCTCATGAGTTTTAGTCTGTAAAGAGGGAGGCCCAAGAAGAAGGCCTGGCAGTCAAGATAGAGCTGAGCTTATGTATTGGTGGAAGAAGCTCCCAGATACCTGCAATTCAGCCTAAGAAGAGCATGCAGACATTTCTGATGTGAGAAATAATTAGCACAGCTCCTTAATCTGAACTATGTAACCACAGCATTCATCCAATTATAAGTTAAATTGAAGCATGTTTATCAGACTCTAACTGAAGGCGAAGTCAACAGGCCATAGTGGCCAGGAGTTAGGAGGATCAAGTCAGATGTAATCAAGGCCTCATGTCTACTACAAGAGAAAACTGGCTATAGGCGACAAACAGGAACAAGCAAAGCCCTCCTTGGGCCACAGAACCCTGGGAGTCCTTGGTGGCATCCAAACCATAGACAGCAGACCTGGGTTTCCTCCAGCAGCAGCAGTCTCCACCACTTACTAATTAGTGTCATTGTGTTAATCATCATAATGAGTGGTCCAATTCTATTCCTCTCCCAGCACATCAATGCACAAGACAGAAAGCTGAGTCAAAATCAAAAGTCACAAACACATTCATTTTTAAACACTTTCAGAAACTGGGAAAGAAAATGGAGGTTTCTCCATGCTGTGGTACCTGGAGACTAACTGGAAAACCTGAAGGTGTCCACACCTTGCAGAACTTCAAAACCTAAATAAAAAACAGAACATACATACTTGCAAACTCACACACACATTTGCACCTGCCCTTTAAAAACCAACAAAAACAAAAATAAAAAACCAACACTGGCTAAGTGACTCCTAAAGGCAAGATTCCAGAAACCCACAACTAACATCATACTCAATGAAGGGAAACTGAAAGCTCTTACTCGAAGATCAGGAACAAGATAAGGATGTCTGCTCTCACCACTTTCATTCAACATAGTACTGGAAGTGTTAGAGCAATCAGACAAGAAATAAAAGACATCCAAATTGATAAGGAAGAAGTAAAACTGTCACGAATGGCAGATGACATGATGCTACAGAAAACCCTAAAGACTTCACCAAAAAATTATAATAAATGAATTCAGTAAAGCTTCAGAGTACAAAATATACAGAAATCTGTTGTATTTCTATACACTAATAACAAAGTAGCAGAAAGAGAAATTAAGAAAACAATTTCATTTACAATTACACCAAAAAGAAATTACAGAGGAATATTAACGGAGGAAGTTAAAGGCTTGTACTCTAAAAACTACCGAACACTGATGAAGGAAATCAAAGATGACACAAACAAATGGAAGGCTATATCACACTCAAAGAATGGAAGAATACTGTTAAAGTCCATTTTACCCAAAGCAATCTGCAATTCAATGCAATCCCTATCAAAATACAAATAGCATTTTTCACAGAAGTAAAACAAGTAATGCTAAAATTTGTATGGAACTTCAAAAGATCCTATAGAGCCAAAGAAATCTTGAGAAAGATAAACAAAGCTGGAGGTAACACAATCCCAAATTTCAAGATATACTACAAAGCTAGAATAATCAAAATGGTATGGTCCTGGCACAAAAAGAGACACATAGATCAAAGGAACAGAATTGACATCTCAGAAAAAAAACCCACACTTCTATGGTCAATTAATCTATGACAAAGGAGGCAAGACTATACAGTGGGGGAAAAACAAGCTCTTCAATAAATGGTGCTGGGAAAACTGGACAGCTACATGCCGGAAAATGAAACTAGACCACTTTCTTATACCATACACAAAAATAAACTCAAAATAAACACCTAAATGTGAAACTGAAACCACTGAAGTCCTAAAAGAAAACAAAGGCCATAATCTCTTGGACATCAGCCTTAGCAACATTTTTTTAGACGTATCTCCTTAGTCAAGGGAAACAAAAGCAACAATAAATTACTGGGACTACACCAAAATAAAAAGCTTTTGTGCAGCAAAAGAAACCATCAGAAAAATGAAAAGGCAACCTAAATACTGAATGGGATAAGATATTTGCAAATGAGATCTCTGAAAAGGGGTTAGTATTTAATATTATATAAAACTTACACAATTCAACACCAAAACAAAATAATGTGATTAAAAAATGGGCAGAGGATTGAATAGACTTTTTTTTTCCCCCAAAGAAGACATCCAGATGGCTAACAGTCACATGAAAAGATGCTCAACATCACTGGTCATCAGGGAAATAAAAATCAAAAGCACAATGAGATGGCTGTCAGAATGGTCACTATAAGAATCTGGAGCCCAGCAGAAAATGGGTTTCTGAGAAGCACGGGGAAGGAGTCGTCAGTTACAGAGGGAAAAAAAACAGTAAAATAAACTAGCATGCTTATAATGACTCCCCCCGCCACCACCAAACACACCTAAGACCTAGAAGCAGAGGACACTGTTTACCCATACCAAGGAGTCACAATGTTAGGGAGAGAAGCAAGACCAAGAGTCAAGGTGGAAGACGTTCTAAAATATCCAACTGACCAGGAAATAAGAAAGGCCAGAAGCCTGTTGACAGATTTTAGAATACTACTGAATAGAAAATATTTTTTAAGGGTGCCTGGGTAGCTCAGTCGTTGGGCGTCTGCCTTCGGCTCGGGTCATGATCCCAGGGTCCTGGGATCGAGCTCCGCATCGGGCTCCCTGCTCCGCGGGAAGCCTGCTTCTCCCTCTCCCACTCCCCCTGCTTGTGTTCCCTCTCTCGCTGTCTCTCTCTCTGTCAAAAAATAAAATCTTAAAAAAAAATTTTTTTTTAAATACAAAGTATCTTATGAAATACTTAACATAAAAATTACAAAATATGACTATAAGACTGAATAAGCAGCTATACATTAATCCCCTTTCTATTCAACTCATTCTAACATCTTTGGAGACCATCTAGGATATGACATATTGGCACCAAAAAGGGGAAGAAGAAAAAAAAAGATTAAGATTTTATTTATTTTGACAGAGAGAGAGGGAACACAAGCAGGGAGAGTGGGAGAGGGAGAAGCAGGCCTCCTGCGGAGCAGGGAGCCCAACATGGGGCTTGATCCCAGGACCCTGGGATCATGACCTGAGCCGAAAGCATAGGCCTAACAACTGAGCCACCCAGGCGCCCCCTCAAGTAGATTTCTATATTGTGATGAAATCTGTAATGGATAAACTCTAAGAAAGATTTTTGATTTCAGGGTTATCTAAGGGCAACTTATTTCCTATCTAGAGTCCCAATTATAGCAAAGAAAACCAAATTTTTAACCCTCCTCACCAAATATTTATTAAATGTCTATGTTCAGGGCTTGAAAAAGAAAAAAACTGCTACCCAAAGAGGGATCACTGGGCTAGCAGCATCAGCATCACACCCAACTCCAGACCTTTAGAATCTGAGTCTTCCCGTTAGCATGATCTCCATAATGTGATCTGCACATTAAAGTCTGAGAAGTACTGGTTCAAAGAATTCAGAAAGGTGACAACATAGACCAAGGCTGAACCAAATCTAACCACCATTCTGCCAAATTCATGCTCTTCCTATCAGACAATATGGCTCTCAGGAGTTCTGTCTGCAAAATTCACACATCAGTCTCAGACTGGTGGCTCTCAACCAGGGCAGACTGGGCCTCCAAGAGGACACTTGGCAATGTCTGATAACATTTTTGTCACAACGGGCAGGAGGAACAGGTGCTACTGGCATCTAGTAGATAGAAACCAAGGATGTTGTTAAACATCCTACGATGCAGAAAAAGCAGTCCTCCACAACAAATAATTACCTGGCCAAAAATATCAAAAGTGCAAAGGTTTTAAAAAAAAGAAAAAAAAAACTAAAACAAAAACACTTCCTTGATTTTCTATATATATATAATCAATCAACTTCAGTAATTTAATGAACTGATTTGAGCATCCATATCCCATGGGGGAAAAATAAACCAGTAATTATGAACACTTCCCATCCAACACTCCATAGAGTGTAAGGTTCCCTCAAGTGCTCATACCAGGGCTGCCTGGGTGGCTCAGTCAATTAAGCATCTGCTTTCGGCTCAGGTCATGATCCCAGGGTCCTGGGATCAAGCCCCGCATGGTTGAGCCCTGAGCCGGAGCCTGGCATCGTTGGAGCCTGGCATTGTCGGGCTCCATGCTCAGCAAGAAGCTGCTTTTTCTTCTCCCCCTGCCCCTTCCCCCAGCTCCTGCTCTCACTCACTCAAATAAAATCTTAAAAAAAGAGTTCATACCAAATCAATAATCATCAATACTGACAACCAAGACCAATACAGTAAAACAACAAAGGTACATGTTGTAATATTTCATAATTATGCAAGCTAAATTCTAAAAATACATTGCTACCATATATTACTTGGGCAATAAAAACATTCTGGTCTTCACTTAATTCTTCATTTTTCTCCTACCATACAGGATCATTAGTGAAGGAACACTATGGCCACTTCAAGATGACAAGCACACACTGGACTAAATTGTTTCACTGAAACGAAACCTTCTATCAAAAAAAGAAAAAAAAATTAAGGTAATTAAAAAGACTCTAGTATCATCAAGAGCTTCATTAATTTTATGAAATTTATGAATGAATACTTCCTCTTCTCCAGAGAAAGTAGAATTAAGACACTCAGAATGGTGGAAGAAGATGGTCCATATGTAAGAGAAAGAGAGGTCAGTGTGTATACTTACACAAAAGATGAGTACTGAGCCTCAGGCGGACTAAGCATGTTTTTATTAAGCTGAATGTTTCTGGAGTGACCATTGCTTTGTATGGCCTGTATCAGCTAAATTCTGCCTACAGAGAGCACCCAGAGGTTATATGTAATTCTCTACACTTTGAAAGCACTTGAAAGTGCCACAATCCTGACTTTATATTGTGCTAAGGAATAAGGGCACTCACTTTAAATTAGAATGAATCTGTGGCATTTAGCCACAGTTCTAGCTGTGCAGAAAGACTGAGAGAAAGCAATTTATGTGCTCCTATTAGACTTTAATAGCTATCTTTTGGTCTCATGAATCCCATCCTGCCATGTTCTTTAATTATGTTACCAAAAGACCCAAGTGATGGAATAAATTAAAATATTCCATGCCATTTCATTGTCCTTTACCTGATTTGTGGGATAAGGAGGAGCCCCACCTACAAGAAGCTAAAGACATACTCTTAAGTGCCCCTTTTTAAAAAGTTCTGCCACATATAGAAATCTTTCTTCAAGGTAGTCTCAAGAACTTAGGAAGCATTGTTTACTTTCCTGAAGCTTTCACTACAGAAATTCAAGATAAACTCAAAAATTCAAGATAAACCTACATGGTCAGAGCTGGCTACACCTCCACAAACTGGCTCACCAGAGCACCCACTTTTTGGCTGACTGTCATCCAAAGATCTTTTCCCCCTTTGTTTTTCTTCCTTTGCCTATCTCTCATCTTTAACAGGCTGGGACAAGCTGCTTAGAAAGAGTGAACCAACCAAGAGCCTGGGACAGAAAAGGGAGAGTAGTTGGATCACACGAAGACATTCTTTGTTTTCTTTCTGATTCACTTGGTTCTTATTTTTGCATCATTGTATAAAACCAGCATCAATATGTGACTATTTCCTCCATTTATGAAATGATTTGAAGTTTCGGTTAGGACCCTTCATCAGGACATTAAATCATCTCTACACTAAAGATAAGGAGAGGAGCCTGGGCAGATGTTACAAGGTCAAAGTGATACAAACAGGTCTCTGTTAGGATCTTGTCCTGTTTTTCATCCAACACATATTCCTACATTTTGGTCTCAATATACAGTTGTCCTTACTTTCCATAGATGTCTCAAGATAGCTGTTTTCACACATCTCTCAATTTATCACTGTATAAAAGGCTGCCACACTCTGAGACACCAAGACCAAGTACAGTAAAACATGTACCTAGAGGACACAATGCCCTACCATAAACACCACTGTTCAAGAAAAGAAGTATTTAAGAACTTAAAAATTACTGCCAGAATTGTCTTGGGCTTACTTTTAGCTCATTCCTCAAGTAGAGTGTCCCTTTGTCTCTACTGTATCTACCCAAATAACAACACAAGCAACAGTGATACCCTGCTCTTTTCCCAACCAGCATGTATCAAACCTTTCTATCCTAAAACAGAGACTCTTACCCGTGATTGTTTCAAAACAGGTCAAATTAGCAAGAAGGTGAATGAGGGGAAAGACCCAAGCAAGCCTTGAGTATTCACTCCATTTCACAAGGCTCTTCTGCTCTAGAAGTTTACCTGGATCAGTCACCACCTCCATCAACCTCAAAGAGAGAGATGGGAGCAAGAAGGCAATAATGCACATCACAAGGGCATGTATGCTCAGATTCTCAACACTTTCAGGATTCTGAGAACACAGTTCTCTGGACCCATGACATCAGGCTATCAGGAAAGAAGACAAATTATTTAGTAGACACACTCTTTGCCATAGTGGACATTTAAAAATAGGAAATGTAGCCCCTTGGCTTACTATCTAAATTTGAAACAGATTATATAGACTTACAGAAACGCAAATGACTACAAAATATTATGACCAGAGCCAAGTGTGCAAGAAGTAAGATTTCCTTCCAAAGGAAGTGCAAGGAATGACATAATCAAATGGCTAGAAGTATTTCCAGTGTTACCATATGGTATGCATGAAGAAGAATACACAGAAGCAAGGTATTCTTGTATAGGAAGTAGCATACCAAGTTTGCACAGACGATTGTTTTATTTGGAATGTGAATGAATTTCATATTCCACATTTCCAAACTTAATTTTCTCACACTTTCGTCATTTTACTAACATAGCCGTTCACTCATTGTTTATAAACACCGTGCTTGGCGCCAGAATACAAACATGAACAAGACACATTCTCTGATCTCAAAAGAACCATTATCCTCTATAATCATTCTTTCCCATGATCCCTGACTACCTGTAAATTTCTTAAGAGCAACAATTCATGTCTTGAATTCCCAGAATGCATGTCCTTTTTATTTCACAAATATTTTAACTATCTCATGTCCTAAATATAATGCTAGGAATACAATGGTAAAAAAAAAAATGACATGATCTATGAAGGGGCTTACCACAGGAAAACAAAAACAAAAACAAAAACAAATGGATGGAGAGATGAGTGTTGAGACAGGAGAAAGGCACAGAACCAGGGGCACACATACAAAAGGACCTCACACCCAACCCACTCCAACTAAAGGGTAGGAGGGTCAAGTTTTCTAGGAAGTGATATCCAACCTGAGCCTCAATGATGAAGAGAAGTTAATGAGCCAAGAAGGTAGCAAAAAGGTCTTCCACACAAATCAAAGCTTGTGCAAAGGTCAAAGGTAAGATAAATCATGGAACCTACGAAGGGACAGATGGGTTCAGGAACTCATCGCTGAGGATTAAGGAAGCAGGGATCATCAGATCAAGAAGGGACTTTGTCAGGTTAGCATTAAAGAGTTAGGACTTTATCCCGAGGCCAAGGAATGACCGCTGAAGGGTTTCAAGCAGGATGCTGATATTACATAAAAGATGGACAGTGAACATTTGCTTTGATGTATCAAATAATCTTTCAAAGAAGTTCTAATCTTCCCTGTGCTCTAAAATCAGTATGTCTGACATCAGAGAAGAATATACAGTATTCCCTAACAAAAGAAGGTTTTGGGTAATACTTAGAACACTGTTGGCCAATAAAAATATGATGCAAAATAATGCATGTAATTTTAAATTTTCTAGTAGCCATGTTCTTAAAAAAGTAAAATTACATGAAAATAATATATTTTATTTAATGAAATATTTCTAAAACATTTCGATAAGTAATCAATATTAAAAATACTGAGGTATGGGGCACCTGGGTGGTTTAGTTGATTAAGCGTCTGCCTTTGGCTCGGGTCATGATCCCAGGATCCTGGAATCAAGCCCCACATCCACTGGACTCATTGCTCACTGGGGAGTCTGCTTCTCCCTCTCCCTCTACCTGCTGCTCCCCCTGCTTGTGCATTCACACTCTCTCAATCTATCAAATGACTAAAATCTTAATAAATAAATAAATAAATGTAAAATAAAAATATTTTACATTTTTTGGGGGGTACTAAGTCTGAAGTTCAGTGTGCATTTTACACTTACATCACATCTCAATCTGGACAGGCCACATTATGTGCTCTATAGCCACAAATGGTTGGTGGCTACCATATCAGAGTAGACCTAGAAAATACTTTGCAATTTTCTGGAATTTTTAAGGTACATTTATCATTTGTAGTCATTTTCTACTTTATAAAAATAATGCAAATCAATTTTTTAATGGGAAAAAAAAACAAAGAATAACTCCATTTTGGAAGACAGTCATAATCCCATACCAGCTACATTTGGATGTGTATTTTTATAGGACAACTATCCTATGTCCAAAACATATGTAAGATAGGCTTTTAAAAAGGTCAATATAAAGGTTAATACATTAAACAGAGTTCTGAATAAATGAAACATTCTGTTTTTACAGTTTTGTTACTTTTTGAGACGATATTTAAAGCGTACTTTCGGGGCACCTGGGTGACTCAGTCACTTAAGCGTCTGCCTTCCGCTCGGGTCGTGATCCCAGGGTCCTGGGATCAGCCCTGCATCGGGCTCCCTGCTTGGCAGGAAGACTGCTTCTCCCTCTCCCACTCCCCCTGCTTATGTTCCCTCTCTCGCTATATCTCTCTCTGTCAAATAAATAAATAAAATCTTTAAAAAATTTTTTTTATTTCTTTATTAGACACCATAAGTGCTCTCTGAGTGACTACTTGACTTTGCTTCCCAGGCCTCCACCTCCCAAAGTTACAAAATGATCAATTCCACCACCACACAGCCTCCAGAGGAGTCCTGCTCCCGGAACATCCTCATCACTCAGCAGATCATTCCTGTGCTGTACTTTGTGGTCTTCATCGCAGGGACCCTGCTCAATGGTGTATCTGGATGGATATTCTTCTACGTGGCCAGCTCCAAGAGTTTCATCGTCTATCTCAAGAACATTGTCGTTGCTGACTTTCTGATGAGTCTGACCTTTCCCTTCAAGATCCTTGCCGATTCAGGGCTAGGGCCCTGGCAGATCAATGTGTTTGTGTGCAGGGTGTCTGCTGTGCTCTTCTATGTCAATATGTATGTCAGCATTGTGTTCTTTGGGCTCATCAGCTTTGACAGATACTATAAAATTGTAAAGCCTCTTTCGACTTCTTTCATCCATTCAGTAAATTACAGCAAACTCCTGTCAGTGGTGGTCTGGATGCTCATGCTCCTTCTGGCTGTCCCCAACATTATCCTGACCAACCAGAAGGCTACTAACGGGAAGGTGACACATATAAAATGTGTGAAACTTAAAAATGAACTGGGACTTAAGTGGCACAAAGCATCAAACTACATCTTTGTGGGCATCTTCTGGATTGTGTTTTTTCTGTTGATCATTTTCTATACTGCTATCACGAGGAAAATCTTCAAGTCCCACCTTAAGTCTAGAAGGAATTCCATTTCGGTCAAGAAGAAATCTAGCCGCAATATATTCAGCATCATGTTTGTGTTTTTTGTCTGTTTTGTACCTTACCACATTGCCAGAATTCCCTATACGCAGAGCCAAACAGAAGCTCATTACAGCTGCCAGTCTAAAGAAATTTTGCTCTATGTAAAAGAATTCACTCTGCTACTGTCAGCTGCAAACGTATGCCTAGATCCTATTATTTATTTCTTTCTGTGCCAGCCATTTAGAGAAATCTTATGTAAGAAACTGCACATCCCATTAAAAACTCAGCATGACTCAGAAACTTCCAAAACCAAAAGAGGAAATACAATGCATGAAAGCACAGACACTCTGTGAATTCCCACCTCCTTTCAAACAAAATCCATGTACACATATTGCAATCTTCAGTTACATAAGACTAAATAAGAAACATGTCCATGCTAATAAGTATAATCTCTAGGCATTACAATCCAATTTAGTATAATAATAAAAACAAAATATAAGTTTTCCTGCTTTTTTATAACATCAGAGAAAAAAGTAACACATGCATTACTCCATTTTATTCCTTCGAAGCAGAAGATTTAAATCACTAGCCTGGTCAGTTAATGTAGAAATTTAAATAGCATAAAGAAAATAGGAAGCAATCAAGGCAATTCACTGGGGTGTCTTCCTTCTCTAAATACAAGGATTAAGTTATGTGGTTTTTTTATGTTTTATATGGAGACTTATTAAGCCACTAAATGAGCCTGGAGCTCTGGTGTTAAAATATTTTTAAGTGGACTCTATTGAAGGAAGCTGGATATTGGGAAGCGTTGCCGGCAACTTCCCCTGTTCAATGGCACTGGGAAAAAAACACGCTGACGGGAACAAAGACAAAAACATACACACATACACTGCGTGTACATACATACATCTAGGGGCAGAGGAAGGAGTTTTCTTAGAAAGCAAGAGGACTTGAAAAAAAGGAAAATCTAGGATTTACAATTATGAGTGAAAAATTACACATAAAGTGAAAATCTACATATCACATTTTCTGAAAAAGCATATGAACTTAAAATGTGCAGATATGGGATATGGTTGCTGGCTTGTGAGTTATCAAAACTATTTCTCTGCTATTAACTGGCTAGAAGATATCTAGGCCATCTTCCAAATGTTCTTCTCAAACTATTTGTAAGTCATGTGCATATACTTTTTTCCCTTACTACATATATATATATAATAATAATATATAGTAAAGAAATTATTTTCAATAATGTTCAGTTTTTCTTTCTTAAAAATCAAGGTAGGTGGCGCACCTGGGTGGCTCAGTTGGTTAGGCATCTGCCTTCGACTCAGGTCATGATCCCAGGGTCCTGGGATCGAGCCCCACATCTGGCTCCCTGCTCAGTGGGGAGTCTGCTTCTCTCTCTCCACCTGCCCCTCACCCTGCTTGTGCTTTCTCTCTTTCTCTCAAATACATAAACAAAATCCTTAAAAAAAAAAAAAAAACTTAAAAAAATCAAGGTTGGAAAAAATAATGCCAATATTCTTCATAGTCATGACATGGGTGGTCTCTTTAATAGGCTAATTATGCATAAAGGAAGGAAGACAGTTACCTAGTGTATTCAAAATTTTTATTTGCCACAGACTTTCCAAAATAAGTACTTCATATGCTCTGGGACCTCATCAGATTTTAGGGAAAACTCGGAAAATACACCTTAAATTGAGGAAGAGCTGGGAAGGTATTTACTCTCCGTGTCCACCTTCCACCCTCGTAAAAACTCCCTGCTCCCAATTCTGGGTCAAATTATCCTCTCTCAAAAAGAAACAAATCACCAACCTATGACAAATACGCTTGGCACAACTAAGCTTGCCATATATGTTTGGTTAAATACATCTGCAGAAGAAATTGGCTGTGCTTATTCTTCACAATTCCCACTGGCCAGGACAAATGAGTAAATACTGGTGTTTTACATGTCCCCTCCCCACCCCGGGAGAAAATGAAAGTTATAAAGAAAATGAGGAGCACCAAATAATGTCTTTGTAACCACTGTGCTAAAGCAGATGGGTAATGTGGAAATCAATTTTTTTCAGGAAGCAACATGCAAGCCAGGTAAGAATACTGTAAAGCAACAACTGATTAACAGTTACTGCATATCAGGTCCAGAACTACAACAAAAAATATAGTAGAGCAATGGCAACAGTGGACCAATCCAGAAACTTCCCTGAGATTACCAGCACTATTTTTTTTAATTATGTTATGGACTAATTTCTGTAGCTAGTTTATAGTACAGTTTTATAATATATATTTATCTCTGAGAAAGTAAAATAACACTTAATCATATTTGTAGAAGCAGTGCTATGAAACAGTTGTAAGTATTTTAAAAAGTGACATAGGGGAAAGGAAAGCCACATGTTGTTAAAGTGGTTCTTCTGTGGGGATGTCCTGTCATGAAAAGATAATTTGCATGCCATTGGTATTTTGCAGAGAACTGGTGAGCAAAAGGCAGTAACAGCTCTTTACCGTTGAAGACCAACCACACCATACCAGTTCTCTCCCAACCCCTCGCCACGCAAACCTCACAGTGCGGTTTACCCAAAAGGAAACCTCCTATCACTCTGGGGGGATGACCTGATGTCAGTTATTTTTTTGTATTAATAAAGATACTTTTTTTTCTTCTTCTTCTTGTCCAGAGTCAAAAGATATAAATAGCAGCAATGGGGTTAAGGACAGAATAGAAAGCTAATGGCATATACTTTACTAACATCATCAAGTAGAAACAAAACTTAGTATAAGGGTGTTTTCTAGATTTCTGGGTTAATCTTCTAGGTAAACTCAATGGATCAGAATTGTTTAATTTGTAGGTGACCAAAAAAATATAACTAAAATTGGACTCCTGCAATAAAAAGAGATTTACTGGCTAATAGACCTAAACGTTCAAAGTTGTGGGTATGGCTTAATTTAAGGGCTGACAGAGGGCCTAAGCTGATGTAACTAAAGCTGGGTTTATACCATTTTTGCAGCCACCTTCCACGGTATTAGTTTCAACTCAAAGGAAGCTGTGAGCTCTTCTTTTGTGGTAGCAAAATGAAAGAAGCACTTCTAGACCTTAAATATTCACAGCCAGTCCTCCAGAGAATTTCTTCAGAAACCTGGGACTTGGCTCTCATTGGGTCATACTAGCTCATTTTCCATCCCAACCTGTGGCCAGTGGAATAGACATGCTGGTCAATTATGGCTGGACCCTGTTATCAGAGGCAGAGTGGGCACTGTGATAGGCCCAGGGACAAGAACCAGAGAAAGTGAATTTCTCAAAGGAAAAGTCTCATTTTTACTGCTGGGGAAATAGAGTCTGGAGGCTGAGGAGATAACCAGCAGATGAGTACCACTGGCAGTAGGCAGCCTTTTTATAAACAACCATTGTGAGATTCATGCATCTCAGTGGGCAGGTTTCATGTGTAATCTTAGATGATTATGATCTTTGTTTCTTGATTCTTATCACAAATATTTCTTTTATTTAAAAAAAAAAACCAGAATATTTCCATATAGGTACTGAGTCAATTACACATATCAAAATGGAATCATGGTTTGGTTAAAATGTACGAATTCCTATCAATGGGGGATTTTTAGTCATAGTCAAGAGCCACTTTTGAATACCTTTCTGTTAGATTTCTGCAGTCCACATGCTGCAAAGCAGCTACTGGCTTATCAACTTCTAGCCACAGAAGTGTTTTTTTTTTTTTTTAATTGCTGCCCCAACAAATAAAAACACGGGGAAACAGTTGGCTGCAGCTAAGGGCCTGCTGGCCTCTCCTGGTGAGGCAGAAGCTCTCAACTCACTATCATTCCCAGCTTCCCTTGTTTTCTATTGTTTCTTACAACAATGTGTATCATGCCTTCTTTTCTATCATAGGCACCTGAGTTTATAAGCCACCCCGGGCACCCTGAGCACTTGAGGACTTGCACTACAGCTTTCTCTACAGAAGGACCTGGAAAATGTTCCCTGTTAACCAGGTACACTCCAAAGCAGTTTCAGGGCTGGCAGAAAATATAAGAAGCTATGCCATTTTTATCTCTCCCACCTGCAACAGAAGTTCGAGTACAAGCATGAAAAGAGTTATTATAAAAAATAGGCCCATCTCAACAACAGTGAAATATATGAAAAGTATTTTCATTGACAATGACTACTTGCTACTTTTTGAATGTGTTCATTGTGTCAATCTGACTTCTCTCATGGTCACAGTTAAGATCTCCGTGACCCATCTCAACCCACTTCACCTTCAGTGCTTTGGGGAACTGAAATACAAGACTCTGGACTCAGAGTCATCTTGCTCTACTTCCAGCCTCCAGATGTCACCAGCTCCAATCCACAGAGTGTCAGTGTATCAGGCGAAGCCCAGAGTTAACACTAATTCCTGCTTCCCTCACAAATCCCAGGTCACTGGTATAACTGCTAAATCCTCCTCCAAAGTGCATGATAAAGTCCTAAGGGCTTACTTTCCTATCATTTCATCTCCTGACACAGAAGTCCACTGAAATATGGCTCTCATCATCTCCATACAATACTTCACACTACTTAATATGATAATCCCTTTTCTAAACTAAAAGATTCTCTACATTTAACCAGGAGCTTTTTCAAGCTGTTAATTATTTACATTCTACTTTTTTACACCATAGCTTTCTGAAGGAACACTAGATCTCTCTGATATTTACTGACTAAAATGAGAAGTTAATCCTCGTTTTGTTTGTAAACTAACCACCAATGTCAACTCCATATTAAATTCACTTTTCTAGTTTAAAAAAAAAATACCACTATTAAAAAAATAAATAAAAAACTTGCAATGCCATGACCAAATGTATTTTCTTATCTGGGTAATACTATGAAAGTAGTTAGGTAAATAAAAACGAAAACGTTCTTTTTTAATAGGAAAACGAGGACTTCTATCAATGCTATTTAAAATAAGAGTTACTTAAGTGTTTAAAAAGTTACATTCAGAATGTCGTCGTTATTGCACAGCGAAAAAAATCATCAACAAAACCAAAGGCAATCTACTGAATGGGAGAAGATATTTGCAAACGATATATCCAAAAAGGAATTAGTATCCAAAATATATAAAGAGCTTATAAAACTTTATACTAGAAAAATAATATGATCAAAAAATGGAGGACTGAATAGACATTTTTCCCAAAACAGCCTATAAATGGCCAACAGACTCATGCTCAACATCACTCATCATCAGGGAAATGCAAATCAAAACCACAATAACATATCACCCCATACCTGTCAGAATGGCTAGTGTCAAAAAGACAAGAAATAACAAGTGTTGGCAAAGACGTAGAGAAAAAGGAACCCTTGTGCACTGTTGGTGGCAGTGTTAATTGGCGCAGCCAAACTGTAGAAAACAGTATGCAATTTCCTTAAAAAATTAAAAATAGAGTGGCGCCTGCATGGTTCAGTCGGTTAAGCATCCAACTCCTCCTCTAACTCAGGTCATAATCTCAGGGTCATGAGATCAAACCCCACGCAAGGTCTTCTTCCTCTAGCCGCCCCCCCCATGCGTGCGTGTGTGCTCTCTCTAATAAATAAATAAATCTTTTTTAAAAATTAAAAATAGAAATACCATATGATACAGTAACTCCTGTACTGGACACTTACTCAAACGAAATGAAAACACTAATTTGAAAAGATATATGCACCCTATGTTTATTGCATTATTTACAATAGCCAAGATAGGGAAGCAACCCAAGTGTCCACCCATAGATGAATGGATAAAGAAGTGGTGTAGATATACAATGGAATACTACTCAGCCATAGAAAAGAATGAGATCTTGCCATTTGCAACAACACGTATGGACCGAAGCAAAGTGAAATAAGTAAGACCAAAAGACAAATACCGTATGACTTCACTTACATATGGAATCCAAAAAACAAATAAATACAGAAATAAAAGCAGAAGTAGAATGTTCTGGTTATGATGATAAGGCACTAAGGAATATCTACTCTCTAAAAGAGAAGGAATAAAATAAAAAACAATCTATGCTTTATCAAATAATGGGGTAGCACTAAAAACATAGTAAGCCAATACTCAAACTCACCTTTCTACCTGTCAAGCTGGATGCTCTCCTCAGACTTCCCTTGCCAAGACTGAAACCAAAGTCTACTCCCCTCCCACCCCTAAATCACAGCCCCATACCATACTCTGCAGTGGTTCCCAGT